TGGGAGATGTCTCATTTTAATCAGAAATTTGCGGGCTACAATCATGCCTCATTAAGAAAGGTTCGAGTTATATTTTAGAGTTTCTGAAAAACTGTTTTTTTAGAAAACCAGGTCTTCGAAGGGCTAAGGACAACCACCATGGTCATATTCGTAATCAGCATGGTCGATAACCTACAATCCGCTAGATTCCGAGCAAAAAGCGTTTAATCACCTCGAATGGTTCCATCATAAGAACCAACAAAAAATTATTAGCCATTCACTATAGCTCAAGTAAATAAATTTATATGCTTAAACCCTCCTAAGAAAATTAATATTACTCTTAAAACAACTAGTAATAAAATTAAAGCCACCTAAAATAGAAGAAACACCAGCAATATGCAAGCTAAAAATAGCTATTTTACTTTTCTAAAGAATTATCAAGAGGAAAATATGCTTTGTACTAATAAACGCTAATATTTTTAAACTGAAAATGACATTCTCAGACGAACAAATATAATATTAACCGTTGTGGCGAAAAAAAACAAATTGAAGATTTGTTGCATAGGAGGTTGATGTAAACAGACTTGAGGAGAGCTAATCTCTCGCTCTAAAACTATTCAACCCATCTCAAGATCTCCGCAAACCAGTCAACTATCAATCTAATTGAAGATGGTCACACGCACAGCACAGATAGTTTATTGTTTTATTCATTATTGTTTTTGTAGGTTTGTCGGGAAGTGGAAAAACCGAATCATGTAAATACATTGTTCAACATCTGTTAAGTCGAGCAATATCCTATGAAACAATGTTAAACGTCAAAATTAATCAGGTAAAAATTCTTTTCTAAATTTTTTTTTTAACCCACATAGCTTATGTTTTAAGGTCAATCCTCTTATGGAAGCATTTGGTAATGCAAAAACGTGGATTAATAACAATTCGAGTCGTTTTGGAAAATATTTAGAAATACATTTTTCTCAATCAGGAAATGTTCTAGGAGGTAAGATATTGTATTTTGTCGATTTGAATAAAGTTCAATCATGTACTGTCTAATTAATATAGCTCAATTAAAAGAATATTTATTAGAAAAATCACGAGTTATTTCTCATAACAGTGATGAAGGAAACTTTCATATATTTTACATGTTATTTGCCGGTCTATCTCAAGAAACATTGACAAAAAATGGACTACGAGCACCAAATGAACATCGGTTAGTTCTTGTTTCTAACTTTACCATTAACATCTTGTAATAAATTCAGGTTATCTGTTATAGCTACATGTCGCACAACTCTGAATTTGCACAATTGGACAATGTTAGACAATCCGAATATCGTAAAAGATTTAGTCATGTTAAACAGAGTATGCTTTCTATTGGATTTTCATTACAGGTTAGTCAGTCATTTTTCATGTTATAGAAGCAAAAATTTTGTTTCAAATGAGTTTTTAGGATGTTGATTCAATTTTTACAATATTATCAGCCATTTTACATATTGGCGACATTGTTTTTGTGCCTCATGGTTCTAACGATGGTGTTAGAGTTAAAAATACCAATACAGTTGATAAAAGTAGTCGTCACAACATTTTTTTTCCTTTATATATCAATGATATATTTTTAACTGATTTTAGTTGCCGAACTTTTACAGTTATCTGCAGTCGAATTTAGTTCAGCATTAGTCACTGAATTACAAGTAACAAGAGGTAAAACAAGTGTTTTCGATTGTATGCGTGTATTTGTGACTCCTTGTCATACTCTTTTTAGGAGAACAAATATTTCGAGAAAGAAATATTAGTCAGGCATCAGAATGTCGTGATGCATTCAGTAAAGCATTGTATGGGAGATTATTTAGTTGGATTGTAAATACCATTAATTCCTACTTAGAACCATTAGAAAATAGGTATTGAAAGATCGATAACTTATTTAAAGGCTCTGTTAGTAATTGATATTTCTTCTGTAGCGGTCCATTACTCATGATTGCTATACTGGATATATTTGGATTTGAAAATTTTAAATCAAATAGTTTTGAACAAGTGAGTAAGAAATTGAATTAGAAACCGAGTTGTTAGTAATCACTAACATGCACTTAATACTAAACGAAGATATCCACAAGTACTACAATGAGCGTTTCGGAACATCAAAACTTGGGATGGTCTGGATGTCGCAGTGTCCCAGCAACCGGTTATAAAAACCATGTTACTACTGCATGCTAATTTTAATATATACCATATAAGACAAAACTTCTATAGAAATAAAAAAAGAAAAGAATGCTCTTCAGTGAAGTGTACAACACACAGAATCGAACATTAAAACAAAGCAAACTGAGACAAAACTGTGATTACGTCAGTGCACAAAGTACCTTCAAACTTGAAGGACATAAGGCTTGAGTGAAACTATGACCTAAACGAAGAATATTGTCGAAAGGGCCTAGAAGTTAACAAAGTATTTTGAGCTGGGGATAGAACACTATCTACCCGAAATACAAGCAAGTGGAACACTAGGACCGTAGAGGACCAGATCGCAACCTTGCATGTACATGAATAACATAGAAATGTAGCACGCTCAGAGCTGGAGCCAGTTGAGAAACGGTGAACCGATCCGGTCCGGCCAGTCTGAAGGTGTAACAGAACCGGTTCGGCTGGTAAACTGGCTGGTTGGAATTATAATTCAGACCGGTGAATAACCGGTGAAAATCTGGCGAAGTTTTTTGAAAATCGATTTTCAGAAAGAATTTCGAAAAACCGGGTAAAAAGAGCAGATGTTTTAAAAGTTTCAACCGATGAAATACTGATCTCTACCGCTTCGATTGACGTTTTCAACCGGTACCGGTTCCAGCTCTGAGCACGTTATAGCACTTGGCGGATGAACTACTAACATCTTCGTTTAGTGTTAAGTGCATGTAGGTGATTATTAACAATTCGGTTTCTAGTTTATTATCATCCGTTAAGATTTTTGTTAGGTAAATCTTATTTTCTAAATATTGAATAATATCTTTATAAAGGTCGATTATGTGATATATGTTTCAATTTAGATTTGTATCAATTTGACAAATGAACACATGCAAAGATTTTTAAATAAACATCTATACGATCTGGAGATACAAGACTGTCAACTGGAAGGAATCGAGACAATTGACATCAACTACATCGATAATCATTATGTTATTGATACATTTTTAAATGTAAGTATTTTGAAATTAATAACTTAATATATTATAGTTATATAAATATAATCGATCAAGGTTAGAGTACTACACGCTTTTTCAACTTCAACCTTAAAGTTCTTCAAAACTTGAATCAATAGATCAGTGATTCAAATTGAACATGATATTTATTCTTAGAAACATACGGGCATCCTGGCTATTCTGGATGAGGAAAGTCGCTTTCCAAAATCAAACGATCATACTCTTGCAACAAAATTACATCACGGTCCAGGTATAAATAGTGAAAACTTCAGAAAATTTCTATAGATTCTAATGAATTTTTGATTTGAAAAATTAAGGTGTTCAGTTTGCAAATGTGTATATAGTGCCAAAGGATGGAGGGACTTCGTTTACAATTCGTCATTATGCCGCTCCTGTAAGTTGAAGAAACAAATCAACAGGCAACAAGTATCATCGTTTAAGTTCTATCCTTTTCTGAATAGGTTGTCTACAACATTGTTGGTTTATTAGAAAAAAATCGTGATACACTACCAAATTCGATCGTATCTGCTGCAAGAAGTACGTACGATCATCTTAGTAAATAAATGACTAGAATGTGTATGTTTGTTTTTAGCTAGCAATAATCCAATTCTTCAAGATTTATTTCGCTGTAATCTGAATGAAAAAGGAACATTGCCACCATCATCGATTACCTATCATAATTCAAAATTAAAACGAACAGAGTCACGTATTAGAAACAAGGAAAATGATGATGATGATGGTATTACATTAAAAAGGGTAACGAAGTTTCGTACATCGAAGATCATATACAAAACAATCTCTAGTTAGATATCTTTTAGAATAATTTGCGGTCACAAGAAAAATCCTATTCATCTTATTCAAACGCCAATACAATGGAAAGAAGTGCTGCGATGAGGACAGTGGCATACCATTTCAAAGTAAAGAAAAGTTTCATATTAATCATGAAAAACAACAGTCTAAAAGTGCTCATTATTTTAGCATTCGTTAACGGAATTGATCGAAAAAATGAATACTTGTAAATGCCATTTTGTCCGCTGTATAAAACCAAACTATACGAAAGATAGACAAACTTGTTTAGCAAATTGTGTGTCACGTCAATTATGCTATTCTGGTGTGCTAAACATGTGTGAAATAAGACGAAAAGGATATCCATTAAGAGTGACGTTTGCTGAATTTTTACAAAGGTATGCTAACTTTAAATAGTCTCTAGCAACAAACTCGTAGTTCAGCGTTGGATAATTATTGACCTTTAAAAAACAGAATGGCTGCTTTTTGAATAGTGAACACAGAAAGATCTGCGCTTATCGGCGTCCTTTGGTGAAGAAATAAGATTTTAAACTCGTTTCAAGGTTGACTTTCTGAGAGAACATAGGTTATCGGCCACGTTGAGTCTGGTAACAATAGTTGGAAAAACATAAAAAACATAGTGAGACTGCTATTTGTTGAAATAATCCATTTCTGGTTGTTTTCATATAAAATCAAAATATTCATAACTCACACGTAATCGATCCTAACTATCACAAAACATCACGATATACACTATTTTATGTGCGCTATATCGTCTTAGAGTTCGATAAAAGTGTTTACATCAACAGGACGAAAAGGTATTCTAGCAATCTTTGGATGGAAGAGTGAGTTCTAACTGCTGAATCAGATGAAACAGTGTACACCATGCTGTTTTGGGGTAGTCAGGATTATGAGTGAGTTATGAATATCTTGATTTTACATGACAATAGCTAGAAATGGATTATTTCAACGAATAGCAGTCTCGCTAGGTTTTGAAGAACATGCTAGAAGACAAAAAACAAGTAGTGACCAGAGATCCGCACGGATCAAAAATTTTCAACTTGACCCGATCATGAAAGTTTCCGGACCAAGCCTGGTTCGGCCCGATCCTACCACTTTTTAAAATTTTCTGGTCTTAGGCGTGATTTTTTTCTTGCATCTATAATGCTTTTTGCTGGCTAAGTGGTGTAAATGTATTTCTCAAGCTAATATTTATATCTTTATGATTTATTGGTTTTCATTTTTTCAACCTTTAAAAGCATTAACTAGTATAGTTATTGAGATATCGCGTAACAGTGATAATACTCTCTCTCCGTATTGAGTATGCACATAAATTACAAATCCACGCATGCTTAAAAATTTTGAGTTCTGCCCAGCTCGATCCTATCAAAATACTTCGTGACCCAAACTCAGCTCGGACCGACTACTTTATAAAATTTTCTGGCTCGGCCCGTGCTGACCTCTGGTAGTGACATACATTCTGTTTTTTAACGTAGAATGCATCAGAATGTTTTTAAAAGCAATTATTCTCTGTTCTAAAATTTTA